AATTTATTCAGGTGACATTTCAACAATAAGAGATTTTCAGATTACAAACTACAGCCCCATGTTCCTTATGATTTTACGCTGAATGTGTAGATTTTGTGGATTTACATAATGGGTTTGTATAATGAATATTTATATAATGAATGTATTTGCATAATGACTACAAGTTAAACATGCACAATAAAGATTCCAGGCCAATAATTTATGTACTAAGTTAAAAATCACCTCTAAATACATTTTATTTTTATTCCTACAGAAGGTTCATTTTATCTCTTGTTCAAAAAATTGAATCCGACCTTATCCAAGTAAAGGCTGCATTGATGCAAATCATGATAATATTTTGGAATTAGTCTACATTGAATCATTTGTATTCAGAGATTTCAGTTTCTTATCTTTTAGTAGCAGCTTTGACAAGCAATTTCAGAATATTCTAAATATGATTCGTTAATATAATTTAGTGTTGTATTCTAGATGCGAAGCTTGCATGCAAGCCTCGTTAGTGCCACTGGGAATTACAGGAGAAAACTGGTAGAAATTATAAAGTGCAGATGAAGTTTATGTTTAGATAAAGGTAATTTGCTGCAGACAGAATATAAACTGTTACAGGAATCTGGTGTTTTCAACTCTTCTGTATTTTGTTTTCTAATAAATACAGGCTTCTTGTTTGCCAGACTGATATTTAATTGGATTTGAGTGCCATTTATAACTGTCTGTACACCAGAACATACACCTGAGCACACAAGTGGTACAGTGTTACTGAAATGGAAAATTTCCTCTTTATTTGGTAGACTAGCAGACAGAACATATTCTGCGAATTATATCTTTGCTTCTACTGCATTTTACAAGAATTTTGTGCAAAAAGTTATTTGGATCCTGTGTTCTCCCACTGCAGACAGAGTTCTGTCCATTAATCAAACAGGGGACACCCAGGCACGTCCTGGTGCAGCGGCCGCATCGGTGCTCACCTCTCGGATGAAATGGGGTTTGTAAGGATACAGCTGTCCTGATTTTGGCTGGGATAGAGTTAATTTTCTTCATAGTAGCTAGCATAGTGCTGTGTTTTGGATTTAGTACCAGAAGAAAGTTGATAACACATTGACGTTTTTAGTTGTTGCCAAGTAGTGCTCAGACTACTCAAGCACTTGCTTGCGGCTCGGGACGGGCTGGGCATCGGTCGGCGGGTGGTGAGCAATTGCATTGTGCATCATTCGTTTTGTATATTCTGTATATTCTGTTATCATTCCCATTATTATTATTATTTTTTTCTCTTATTAAACTGTCTTTATCTCAGCCCTTGGCTCTAACATTTTATTTTCTTCCCGATTCTCTCCTCCATCCCACTTAAGGAGGGGGGGGAGTGAGCAAGCGGCTGCATGGTGCTTAGTTGCCAGCCAGGTTAAACCATGACAGCAGCCCTGTAATGTAGTGTTTGCAGTGAGTTTGCAAGGCCTCAGCACTGAGGCTTGTCACAGAATGTCTTCCTGGACTTGTCCTGCCCTGCCTGCAGCTTTGTCATGCCTGGTTCAGCTGGGACAGCGTTTCCTCCAACTGAGCAGGCGCCCCTGGCTAATCGTTTTTACCTCTGCATTCCCAGGGTACCACCATAGCCAGCAGTACCTTTGCATTTCCAGGGTAGGACTGTAGCCAGCAGTAGCGAGCAGTTTTTCTGTGCGCAATGAGGTATTTATGGCTGTTACACAATGATGCAGAGAAGCACAGCGGAGAGCTGGGAGTGTAGGAGCAGGGGCTTGAGAAGCTGGGGCACAGGACAGGGCGCAGAAGGGAGCGCAGGCGTGGGGTGGGTAGGGATGGGCAGGGGCTGCCACAGGAGACCCCACAGCTGTGAACAGCTCACCCATGGCCAGTTGAAGAAACGCAGATTTGGAGCTGGACAAAGTGGGGTTTGGGGGTGTCAGGGAACACAGGAATGACATCGGACATACATAGAAGGCACCTCAAATAGTAAATTAGGATGTAATGTGGAGCTGCCGAGCAATGAAGAAAGAGCACAGGTGTAAAAATGTGATAGCAAACATTTAAAGAGGACCCAAAATGGATCTGGAAGGGAGGAAGAAGAAACAGCCAATGTGAGCATCGTATTCCTCCCCTTGAGGGATCCTGGATGCTGACAACTTGCCATAACAACCCCCCACCAGAATGAAGCCACCGACTTTCAACCACCACAGGGCAAATCACCAGGAAAAGGGGTAGAAAATAAGTGTGCCTTAACAACTGTAACTGCATCAGTATTCTTTCTTTTCTGGCAAGCCATAGAATCACAGAATGCTTTGGGTTGGAAGGGACCTTAAAAGACCATCTAGTTCACGCCCCCTCCCACAGGCAGGGAATATTAGATCTAGGCTAATAATGATTCTTGAAGTGGGTGCATATCCCACTGTTTTTATGATGAATTATACATGAATGTCCTGAGGGCCCCCCAAGACAAGAGAGACATGGACATCCTGGAACGAGTCCAGGGAGGGCCATGGGGGTTGCAAAGGGGCCAGAGCATCTGAACCGGGGAGCAGCTGAGGGAGGTGGGGTCTCAGCCAGGGCAGGAGGGGGCTCTGAGTGTAAAGTAGTTGGATTCAAGCTCTCCTCAGAGGTGCTGGTAACAGGACAAGAGGCAACAGGCTCGCATTGAAAGAGAGGAAATTCCATTTAAACATGAAAAAAGGTTTTTTTACTGTGAGTGTGATCAAACACTGGCACAGGTTGCTCAGAGAGGCTGTGGCATCTCCATTCTTGGAGATATTAAAATCCAGCTGGACATGTTCTGAGCAGGAGTTGGATCAGCTGATCAGGACAAGGGGTAAGGGTTTTAAACTCAAACAGGGTAGGTTTAGACTAGATATAAGGAAGAAATTCTTTACAATGAGGGTAGTGAAACACTGGAACGGGTTGCCCAGGGAGGCAAACATGGTAAATGCACGTTGCTGTCTCCTATGGGCGCCATTCATGTACTGTTCCAAGAAGGGCTGAGAAGGCAGAATGTAGTAGGTTTCCCTTCCCAAGGGAAGGAAAACAAAGCACCATTTGTATCTGCCTGCCCTTATGTCTTCAGCAGCGAGAGAACATACCCGTCTGCCTGCAGTTTGCTGTGCTGGGTGCTCAGCAAGAGTGCATCACCATTGCGCCGTGAGCATTTTGATTGTCTCTCCCTGTACTGAGATACCTTTGATTAAGCTTTTCCTCAAATTTCATTTTCAGTTCTCATTGTGGCAAGTGTAATGGGTCTGTAGTTGAATGATCACATTTTTCCTCCCAGTCCTCGTTCTCCATCCTTTGGTCAAGATACAAAATCAGTGGGTTCACTGAAAGCCCCTGTGATTACATACACTAATTTTGTCTGAATCCAAGATGAGGAGGATCTAATTCCTCCTCAGGTCCCTTCTCCAGACTGAGTGCACTAATTCTCCTTTTCTGCTTTTTTCTCTCCAGAAGAATTATAAGAGCTCCTTTCTGTAGACAATCTAATGCTTTAAGCTATTACTCTAAAGTATCACCACGGTTTCCAATAAAATTTTATTTGACATTTAGTTAAAATCCATTTTTTTGCTACAACTGAATTTTTTTCCCTAGTCCCTTGATGGGCACTTCAAGCAGAATTCATTGTCATTGTCTTAAAGGTCAAAAGTTAATTTTTTTTTCAGATCTTGCCTTGTAAAGCAAACTGTTAGTCAGGATTATGAGACACTGTAGTAAGCTGTGGCAGTCCATGAAACCGTTCTTCCCTGCAATTACATGGATTTCATAAAAGTTGTGTGAGCAAACAGAAAGACCTTCCCTGCAAAATCAATTATCATTGTAGAGTCCCTATAAAAGAACCAGTGCAGTACCAGTCTTGCATGCAACAGCCAGCTGGAGGCAGGGAGTATCTCAGAATCATTTAGGTTGGAAAAGACCTTTGAGATCATCAAGTTCAACTGTTAACCTAACCCTGCTATCCCACCACTAAACCGTGTCCCTAAGCAACACATCTACACGTCTTTTAAATACCTCCAGGAATGGGGACCCCACCACTTCCCTGGGCAGCCCGTTCCAATGCTTGACAACCCTCTTGGTGAATAATTTTTTCCTAATGTCCAGCCTAAAGCTCCCCTGGCACAACTTGAAGCACTTCCCCTCGTCCTATTGCCCATTACCTAGGAGAAGAGACCAACTCCCGCCTTGCTACAACCTCCTTTCAGGTAGTTGTAGAGAGTGATAAGGTCTCCCTCAGTCTCCTTTTTTCCAGGCTAAATTAAATAAATAATCTCCTTTCAGAAACTCAGAACCCACCAGGATTTCCCAAGCCAATAGCTCTGAGATACAGAGCAGGGATCTCCCCACCTCTGAGTGAGACAGATCCAGCTTTGCCAGCAGGGATCCAGCTTCAGTGGCTTCACACCAAGTCAACCAGTGCAGAGATGCCTGCAATGTTAGCTAAAAGTTTTCCTTTAAATATGTTATGAGGAGTTAAATGTATAAATGGAAGCATTAAGTTAAATAGAAATGATACTTTTAGATGCCATTTTGTTTGCAATTTTTCATACATATAATTTAGTTTGTTCAATGAAACCATTCTAATAAACTATGCTGTATCATGAAATAATTGTAAGGTCTAATGGTAGTTAAATTAAATTAAATCTATTGCATGATATGTTAATATTTTTAACTTTCACTCCTACTTCTAGAGAGCCCTGTGTGTTCTTGATTATTTCCTTGTTTTGGTTTCAATCGGAATTGTTTGATAAATGTCTGCAGCCTGTTAAAATGAGCTTAAAAATATACTCATATTTAGGCTGCCTTTATTTCTATGTTCCTGTGTTACAGCAGCATTATAGCTTTCACTGACATCAGCTGAAATCTGAAGAAGCCTTTATTTTCGAGAAGTCTAGTTAGGCACACACTTTTCAAGGTATCTAAATGTGATGCTGCTGCACTTCTCAAAATTGAAACAGCAAAACCTGTTACTGGTGAAACGTTGCAGAAAGCTCCCGGTGACAGATATTTGTGCTTACCAGATGGAGAGATGTGTCTCCAAGAAATGGAAGGCTCTGGCTTCCCCGTGGCCAGGCAGACCAGAGTAACATTGCTTCCTTCATTCACAACGATGTCACTCGAAATACGAAATATCTTCGGAGAAACTGGAATGAAACAAGGAGAAAGTTGTAATGGAGAGCTGTGGCATCAGTGCAATTCTGCCAGAGCACGGATAGCTGAGGAGAGCCAAGATACCCGTATTACCATTATTGAGAAAAATACATGCAGTTGTTGAAATATAACTATGCAAAAACCTTGCTTCGGTGTGACCACAGCTATTTCCATCAAGTTTGCAGAAGCTCAGCCATGGATTCAAAATGCTACAAATAAGAAAGCAGCAATTTCCTCTATTTTGTGCAAAGCAGGTATTGTTCTTGAGTTCCCAGTAAACTGTTGCTGATGGATGCTCTTGTTCAAGAGGCTGAGCTTCCTCATGACGGTTTGAAAAGAAGATGAAATTAAATTTCTTAAAATCTTATCTTCTTAAAAATAATGATGCCTATTACATCTACTCCATGTGTACTTGGAGAGTCATATCTGTTCATGGAGAAGACTAAAATACATTTATTTCAGTTGCTTTGCATTGCTTTTAGCCTTGCAGTAGCAACATGGCTAAGAAAAAATAAGCTAGATTTTTTTCTTTCATTTAATTGGCAGACTTCTTCACTAAACTCCATTTTCTGTACTATTTATAAATCTGGGCATAAGAGAACAGAGTTCCACATGGATGGAAAATGATGGAAAACATTAAATGGCCTATCCTTAAGGGAATGCTTTACTTCTTGTAATGTTACACAGGGAGAAAAGGAACTCAAGGTCCCAGCAATAAAGGCAGGAATTCTGGATTTCAGACTGAATCTTTCTTTTTAAAGAAATATGCATTTCTTTACATGTCTTATTATTACATTTGATGTAGAAATCAAATCAACATGGTAATAAGGCATACCCTACTGATGTTTCTGAAAAGCACTGTTCTCTACATGATAAATTACAATTTTTGTACAAATATCTCTAAAAGAGACAGATCTTACATGTGAGTGTTTTGGAGTCTTCTGTAATGACTGCTTTGAAATCAAAGTGCTCTGCAAGGTAAATGGGTACCAATGAAATAAGAAAAAAAAAGTTTATGATCTTCCATTTTCCTAACCAAAATGGAAGTCCAGCTGGAGCTTTCCTCTCCTGAATGCCACGGTCTCATCTCACTGGTTTGCTCCAATTTGTCACAGCCAAAATCCCACTATCTGAACCCATAAGTACACCTTTGCAACCTGTAATACATTATTAACATCCCTTCAATGTACTTTAAAAGTACAAAGCTTTTTCATGTGCACAGACTGGTTTTGTGTGCTTTGGGATCTCCACCTGCAGATGTTCTCTAGCCCTTTCCCCAGTCCAGTAACTGGAAGTATTTCAGTCGTAGAAATGAGATGGGGTCAGAGAGACTTCAAAAGCTGGAAATTTTCAGTGCTTGCTTGTGGCTAGGCATTTGTGAGCAAAGCAAATTAAAAGTTTATTTAGAGTATTTTTAATTAGCAGAGAAACATTGTCTTTAGGGAAAAATGAACGTCTGGGGAAGGCTGAACCTAATTCCTAGAGCAGTGAAGTTCAGTATGACCCGCCTTTGAGGTTCAAGCAGGTTTACACAATCACTTCAGCAGAGATATACTTCTGAATTTGCCACAGTCTAACTCACAAAAGGTGATGATCGACTCTTCCCTACTTCACATAAAGGGGTAATTTATTAATCAGATTTCTTTCAGATTCCTGCAACGAACCCGTTACTCAACTTCTTCTGCAGAAGTCTCTCCTGTCCTAAAGGAGAACATGAACACCCACCACCTACATGCCCACCCCACATCAGCTATACCATGACATGACCCTTCCTCGGACTCTCCCACGCCTTGAAAAGGGGTTTCCCCCACTCCCCTGTCCCAGCCCAAGTTAAATATCATTAATGTTTCAGTTTGGCAATAGACAAAACATTGAAAGGAATTCTTATTTCTGTGTACAGAGTATGAAAAATAAATCTACTTCCTAAAGAGAGCTGGTGAGGAATCATTCTATCTGAAATGCAGAAATCCATCTGAGAGCAGAATATCATGAATAATGTGGCATACACAGTGGCTTTGGTCAGTCTACAATATTTTAAAAATATCTTCCTAAATCTGAGCTACTTAGTTCTTTATCCTTCAAGAACAAATGTACTTTCAGAAAGTCAAGTGACGGAATCAAGTAACTCAAAACAGTTCTTCTCACGAGTAAATATACACAATTGACTGATGCAATATCTATTTGGAACTGTGGAAATATCTTCCAGATTAAGTAATATTACGGTGTAAGATTTCCAGCAGCATGAAACTTCTTATTTGAGTTTCTGCACCTTTGAAGGTAGAAAGAGAGATTTGCTCATGTTCTGGCATTATTGAAGCAGCATCATAGAGGGATTTTTCACACCTGCCACCTAATGCTGTTTATCCAGGTGATTTTTATTTGCCTTAAACTTGTCACTAAACATCAAGGATGTGGCTGGAGCCTGCTGTGCTGCCATGACGGCACCTGGGTGGCCAGTACAAGCTAAAGCAAGTTAAAGGAGTTTTCCTGGTGCTCAGGCTGTGCCAGGGTCAGGATTACACTTGGTCCAGTCTCTTCCCTGCACCCATTGCCAGAAATGGGTGGCTGAAATATCCACTGTTCTGATTTAATTAGTGTGACTGACAAAACCAGATTAGAAATATGATAACGTTAATTCCAGTGGGAATGAGGAGCTCCTGGCATGCTCTACTGCTGGTCCTGCAGCACAACTACTATAGGTCCTGTGAGCAGAGTGCCATAAGGATCCAGCAGAAAAGCTGGATCTCATAAACAATTCTAATCAAATTTCTAAAAATATAAATTTCTAAAGGAAATACAGACAGTTCTGCCATAGGCAGGAATCTAGAATTGAAGTAATAGGACTTCATTCAGTTCACATAGACAAACAAAATTTCTTTCCCAAGACAAAGATCAACACGTTCTACTCTTCTCTGCTGCTTAATGCAAGCATCGTTGTCATCCTCCTCTGCCTTTCCTCACAAGGTTTTATTTGCTCTTTATCACTCGCCTCTTTTTCAAGTGTCCTCTCTCACAAAAAGCAGCATATTCTCCCCTTGGCTAAGGATAGCCATTAACTTTGGCCGTCAGTCTCACTGCCTTTCTTGTAGGTTTTACCTACTGTTGTCAAACCCCAAATCTACAGTATTTTGTCAAATATTTTAATTTTGATAAAACCCTATGTTCTAACGGCAAACAATTTGAAAATATTTCCCTGGTGATTCTACATGTAAGCCATGGCTATGGAGCACAGAATTTGCTATGAATGAAATTCAATCATATTAACAGTGTGGAATATAAGGCCAGAGGACCCATAGACTAATTTAGTCGGAGATCAGATAGTCACAGGCTCTAGAAATTTTCCTAGAAGCCTGTCTGAAGTATATGTTTTAGAAACCTGTCTACTCTTATCCTGGCAATTCCAGGTGATGCTCATACTGCCACGTCTGGGAAGCACTTGCAGAGATTAAATACCCCCTCGCTGCCAGGAAATAGCATTTTAGCTCAAAATTGCATTCCACTAAATTCAGCATTCAGAAATCAGATCTTATTTTGTTTTTGTCTGCAAGACTGAACATCCCCCTTACTATTGAGTATCTTTTCTATGACTATGGACCCACACAATGTGATAAATCACCTCTTCATCTTTGCGGACGATTTGAGCACTATGAGCTTAATTTTTGTAAGGCTTCCTAGATAATATTTGTTTCTCTCTTTTGAGGAATATCTGAATTATCCTGAAATGTGAACAGCAGAATAATAGCCTAGCACGAGTCTTACCAGTGCTGTGTACAGAGGTAAACCCACTACTTTATCTCAGCTTTATTTCCACTTTCCCTGTGCAGTTATTATCACCCGGACCATTATTCCTATTATCCCTTCAGCTCCTGCCGTGGCCAGCTGTGGAGGGATGCGGGGAGGGAGGGGGCAGGAGGCACTGAAGGGATGAGGATGGCTTGCTGCACAGATCCCCTGCGTGGTTAAAAATACTAGTTATGGATGCTACCAGAATAACATAAATACCTGGAGGCTCCTGTTGGTCCCATTGCACATCCACCTGTGATCCCCTCCTGAGCAGTACTATGGGAATGTCCTCTTCATTTCCTCTTTAAAATTTCATATCTTGTAGTTAAAAACTGGTGTCCCCAGCTGAAAGGAGAGCAGCAGCATTTCTGGGGCTCTGCTATGGAAGGGACCTGCCTGCTCTGTCTAATCCTCTGTTTTATGTTATGGCAGCTCTGGTAAGACTTTCCCAAATCAAGCTTCGCCACCAGTGGCTGATAAAAAAACCCCTTTTCACCTGGCTGTTTGGAGGACCTGCTTTGTCTGACTAGATCTGCTGTCCCTGAAACCTGACTGACTGATGCTAATAAGAATTGAGTCTCTGGCTGACAACATATTTTAGCTCCTACTTCTTCCTGGAGTCCAGAAATAAGTGTGCCATTATTTTGCAGAGGATTGACATTGAGTCTATAGTTCATTGCAGAGTCTCATTTCTCATTTTCAAGGACTGGAATTATATTCTCAGTTACATTCATGTGTACATAAATGACGCAGCATAATAAAGCTTACTAGTGTAGTGGGAATGACTGTAGGATAGAGCTGCTTTCTTAGCTTTTTAAACATGGGAGAGGATGTCTTATTTTCAGCACAATTTAAAATTACCAGATAAATAATCTGGAGCCTCATCATAAGTGCACCCATCTTGTTTCTTGAAATATATTCCCCCCATTGAAATGTCCAATCAAAGTCCATGTAGTATCAAGATTATAACATATGTGGCTGGATATACAGCTCTGTTTCTTCAGAAGGTTCCCCCAGATAGAGGTGATGGCAAGTTAGGAACTAGATTTTTTATAGTAACATTTATTAAATCATATGGTAGCCAACTCCCTTTTCAGATTATAATGTAATCAATCCCGTTTTATATACAGAATATAGACAATCCCAATAGAATATATAAAAACTGTGAGAGGAATTGGATTGCAAGTACATAAGTGTTACGCCTGGGAGT